GATGACATATTTATAATATTAAGCTTTTTTATATATTTCGTGATAAAATGTGTGAAATAAGAAGCAACAAAACCTTATAATCTATGTATCAGTCAAATATTTTGCTTGTTTATTATAGCCTGTGTTGAGTATTATCAAAATATTACCAAAATATTCTCGTAATACAATCATTATATTACTATAATATTACAAGAATACGACGATAACAGAGAAAATAAAAGTCATGACATCAAAAACATAAGTAATGAGAATAAAACAATAACATTATAATAATATTACAATAATACGACGATAACAGAGGTAAAATAACAGCCATGACATCAAACACATCGGGAATAAGAATACAACCATAATATTACTATATTACAAGAATACGACGATACCAGAGATAAAATAACAGTCATGACATCAAAAACATTAGGAATGAGAATACAACCAGAATATTACGATAATATTACAAAAATACGACGATAACAAAGGTAAAATAACAACCATGACATCAAACACACCAGGAATGAGAATACAACCATAATATTACAAGAATACGATGATAACAAATGTAAAATAACAGTCATGACATCAATAAATCTATTTTCGCATAGACAATACCCACAAAAAATTTTCATGAGCAAGCTCTGCCCTAAATCTTGGCATCTCTGCCTGCCAATCCCGATTTTCACTCCAATTACTTCTGTATCTTTCCTAATTTTTACATAAATTTGAAGAAAAAGATCCAACAATCAATACTATTGGTTTGTACTAGAACATGTTTAACTATTGAGAGTTGCCAGGTCCCGGGTTTAGCTCTAAAAGAACCATTAGTATCTACTGCAAACTTTTTGATCTGCAAAGTTTACTAGTGATCAGTGCATGGACTAAACTGGTGAAATTGCATGGGTATACCTTTAACGACTGACAGTATACTTACAACGTCCTTGCACACTTTTTTGTGCATCTGGTTTCATAAACTTTCCACTTCTTCTCCTTTAAATCCACAAACAACAATACCCAATGTTGGTTGTTCAAAACAGGAATCGTAAGAATATCAGCTTTTATCCTTTAAATCCGCAACAAATAATACCAGTGTTGGTTGTTCAAAAAAGTAATCATAATAATATCAGCTCCTTTAACTGCCTTCCTCGTGATATGACTCAGAAATCTTGCGGTGTTACCCATTTTATGATAACTCTACATAAGATTACAAACTTATAATATATTCATATAGTTATTTAAATTTTAAATATACTTAATCAATGATTACCCAATATAACGATAATATATAAATATAAGGCCTGAGAAAGGATGGAGAAGCGTTACTCTTTCCGTCTAAAATCATGACTTGGGCATTTACAATCATGTCATTGCACAATAACTCTTCTATTGCCCCGGGATCTATAAAAATGTTTCCAATGTGTGTAACATAATACCATCCCTGCAGAATAACACAAAATCTTTGTGAGCCTTTCATCTAAGACAAAAGCAATGCATTATAAAATATGATGATTACTCACATATTCGTGTATTTTGACATAGTTTGATCAATCACTAGCTGTGTTTCGGTTGATACCATGGATCTGCCAAGATAATTTATCTGGGAGTCCGTTGGAAGAGGCTAAAAAAATAAAGTTTTGTATAACATTTGAAATACATAGGTAATTTAGATGATATAAAACAATGTATAAATTTTTTTTTCCAAATACCACATTGACAACACCAGGTGTAAGGACTACTGATCCTCCTACTTCTTCGTCTTCAATTATTTGTTGTTCCTCTGTAATGGGGGTTGTTAGTTCCAGTACTACTGCTCCTGGAACTTCTTCGTCGACAATTGATTGAATGTTGCCATCCCCGACATTCGTATGTACAACGACATCTTCATCAGGCACAACGACATCTCTTATTACTTTTCTTCTCTTGAACTCGAAAGTAGTGAAAGGAGAACTCAATTTCTTCTTTCTTCTATTCCGTCTGCTCTTAAACCTTTGGATTAAGCTCGGAGAAGACCGTTTATGGGAGCCTTTAACAGTGTCTCCTTCAACATGAGAGGTTTTTTGGGTTCCCTCTTCTCCCACAGAAGCTGACTGCTGAGTTCCCTCTTCTCCCACAGGAGACAACTGTTGTGCTTCCTCTTCTCCCAGAGGAGACGATTGTTGGGCTCCCTCAATGTTCTCCTCGTCTCCTTCTTCTCCCATAGAAGACAACTATTGTGCTCCCTCTTCTCCCATAGGAGGCGATTGGTGAGCTCCCTCAATGTTCTCCTGGGCTCCCTCTTCTCCCACATGAAACGATTGGAGGACTTCTTCAATGTCGAACTCATTATATATAGCATCATGAGGTCTTTCGAAATGAGGGGAGGTTGGCTGGGCATCATCTACTCCCACCTTTTCGCCTTTATCAATTAAAATATCTTCAGATTTATCAATCTTATTTTGTAGCACTGACATTTGCCCCTGCAAACTCGACACTCCAACATTTATCGTATTCAGGGTTCCCTGAAATTCAGTGAACCATTTCTCTTAGCCTTTTAGCAGCTCAATTATTGATTCCATGTTTTTATCCATTGTGGTGTACATTGTCTCCGGGGTAATGTCGCTGGAAACAACTGACCCCATATCAAATGATACAGTTGCCTCTGGTCTGCCTTGGAATTCCAGTGTTGGAACTGGACTAGGTAATCCTTCATCTAGATTTAAGAGCAGATTGAGCTCATCCTCTTTCAGATCCAAAAAATGATCATGAACATGTAATTTATTTAAAAAAGAAACGCTTTAATCATTAAAACTCTCAAATAAACATAAGATTTTATTTTTTAATAACAACTAAATGTAACTTGCCTGTTCCATATTCAGCCTCTTAAAGGCTATATCAATCTGTGATGAGTTCCAGCTTACATTTGTTGAACACTTCAACATTCGAGGTCTGACCTCAAGAATGACAGGAGTAATCAAAGAAGTGTGCTCATAAAACCAGAGCTGTGTAAAAGAAAAGTCATATTCAACTTTGCACAAATAAAATAAATATTTTTTGACATTTATGCTAGATACTAACCGTTAGAAAAAAAAAATCATTTATATATCCCAAAGGTCGGTTCCGCCTTATTTTAATGGCTACTGCATTAGAGTGCAACAAACCAATTAAATGAAGAAAATGTATGTACATTCTCGCCAAAGGTGTAAAGTCCTTTGGATACACTGAAATTGCTGGAAGGAAAGAATAAATTTGATAACAAATAATTTATATACAATTAATTAAAAGTGGTAGAAGACTCCCCAGTTCCAAAATATCATTCCTCATTTGGCGGGCATCCGCACCACATGATGGAACTTTCTTCCACTTTGGCACTTCTCCTCTATTTGACATGCCGATCAAAAGGGCAACTTCATTAGGATTTACTCTCAGATCTTTCCCACCCATTCTGAATACCATTATTTAATGTTGTCAACATCGCAATATTTACAGTGTCAGGACATTGTCTTGGGGATAAGGTGGAAGAGCAAAAAATTGATCAACATTCATCATTTTCAGCTCATTCATGATGTCTTCAGATATCTCAAGCCTGATTTTATCGAGCACATCTCTCACTACGGACGGTTGACATTTACAGCTCATGGACCTTGGGTTCACAAACCAACATTAAAAAAAATAATGCAACATAATATTAGGTATATTCAGGTAGTATAAATAGAATTATTATAGTATTATTTAGATATTATTCTGGTATTATTTTAGTTGTATAAATGAATTTCAGGTTTTATTTAATCTTCTTCAGGTATTACTTGGGTAATATTTTGGTAATATTTAGGTAGTGTTAAGTAGTGTTAGTTTGGCATTATTTGGGTAATATTCATGTGGGTAATATTCAAGTAATATTTCAATAGTGTTGATTTGGTATTATTATTAAAATTCAGGTTTTATTCCGGTGTTATTCTAATATTATTATGATAATATTGGGTGAAATTGTGATTTGGTGCTAAAAAACAACAAGTATAAGCTAAAATACTACTCAAATATTACTCAAATACTACTAAAATACTACTCCAAATATTAGTGTTATTTAGTTTGGTATTATTTAGGTAATATTCAGGTAATATTTCATTAGTGTTGGTTTGGTATTATTATTAAAATTCAGGTTCTATTCCAGTGTTATTCTGATATTATTATGGTAATATTGGATAAACTTGTGATTTGTTACTCAAAAATAGCAAGTATGAGCTAAACTATTACTCAAATATTACTTAAATACTGTTAAAATACTGCTAAAATATTACCCGAAAACAGTCACTCTGAACTAAATACCTGAGTGATTGTTACTCAAATACTACTAAAAAATTACTCCAATACTATATAGATGAATTTCTACTTAAATACTGTTAAAATACTGCTAAAATATTACCCGAAAACAGCCACTCTGAACTAAATACCTGAGTGATTGTTACTAAAATACTACTAAAAAATTACTTCAATACTATATGGATGAATTTCTACACTCTATTAACATTTTGGTCAATGAAAGTAGAACCAGCAAAATAAAATTTATCTGGATGAACCCTCTTGAATTTCCTTCTTCTTACGCCATTTCACTTCGTTTTTCTTGTGTTTATCAGTCTCCATTGTCGATTCCTCTTCATTCTCCATTATCAACTGCTCTTCAGTCTCCATTCTCTCAGGCACTTTTTGGTTTCCATCAGCATGGGCTCGGATTCCATCCTGGTAAGGAGCAATCACGATTTTACTTCGACTGACGAACAACAAAAACCCTCAGCTTTTCTGAGTAAAAAACCCTAAACGATTGCCGATTGAATGAGGTGCTCTGTGGGCTCGGGCGACGTTTAGCTTTCTGTTGATCTGATGTTTTAGTGAAGCGTGCGATTTAATTTTCAGGTGCTTCGGGCCGGGCTCGGGTCGGGTCGCACCATAGAAAATGAGAAATTTTATTTTTTAAATTGTGAGGTCTGAAAATATTTTCAAGTGTCCTATTTTTATTATACACCGCACGCGGTGCAGAATAAGCGCTCCATTTACGCTGAAGATAATCCACAAGACGGTTAGATAAATCCTCGTTTCCTTGTTGCCTTAACGCTATTTCGAACTGGATCTCCAAATGGGGAAGAAATCTAGAGAGCAGTGGGAAGATGGGGAAGCTGTGAAATCCCTCTTCGGAACCGACAACCCTTATCGACGTAAACCACAGCCGGACGTAGCCTGCTGCGATACCGGTGTCAACATTCTGCCCACGAAGAAAGTAAGGTTAGCAATCGATTACAGTGCTGCTGAGAAGGAAACGATTACCGAAGGCAAAATCTCGGACGTGGAGCATTCCGATGCGAGGAAGAGAAAGAGAGATAGGGAGATAATAGCGCCTGCGCTAAGCCCTCGGTCCTCCGACGAGGAGCCTATTACGAAGAAGCGGAAGAAGGTTGTGGTTGAGGCAGAAGTGGATGGTTTAAAAAAGAAGAAGAATAAGAGGAAGAGAGAGGATATGGAGTTGGAATACGAGAAGAGGAAGTTCGGTTATGTCGGAGAAGAAAAGCCGGCGGCCACCATTTTAGCCATTGGAGAGAAGAGGAAAGCTGATGCTTCTGCTGCGGAGATGTTGGATACCAAGGGGCCATTTGATGATGACAGCAAGCTATTGAGGACTGTATTTATCGGGAACCTGCCGTTGAAGACAAAAAGGAAGGCTTTAAACCGGGAGTTTGCTAGGTTTGGAGAGATTGAATCGGTCAGGATAAGATCAGTGCCTCTTGTGGATGTGAGTAACTGTTGCTTTGGTTTTTGTTTTGATGTTTTAATTGTCATCTATTTTGCCTTTTTTAGGTTTTATAGCTTTTGTAGACATTTTCTTTGCCTAACTTCTTATCATAATTATTTTTTAAGGCTAAAGCTCCTAGAAAGGCTGCTGTTATCAAGGGACAAATAAATGAAGAAGTTAACAGGTTTGTGACGATGAACTCGATGCTTCATCTGCTTATGATTAGTATATTCTTTAGCATCCTCTATTTTTTTGTTATCTTATTTTTGGTGATATGGTTGCTTGTAAATTCTTGACACATGGCTAAATCCTCCCTGTATCACAGAATGTATGTTGTGAGAGCTTTATTATTGAGACCTATTTAGCGTTGAAACTGACTTGGAACATGATATTTCATAGACATAAGATGTAGAATTTGAAAAACAAAGGGCATGGTGTGCCATTACTCCATTTTGAGGTGAAAGCAGAAGCAACCTCTCAACCATGCAGTGGTAAAGCTGCAGATTTGAATTGTTCCCCGGATCTTGCATTAGTGACAACTTCATAAAATACACCTTTTTTAGGTGATGGTGCACCAGATCTTGCATTGGCGACAACTTCATAAAATCATTGTTTCCTAGCTATTGTATTCATGACTTATATTTGAATTTAGGTTTAACAAGTTTTTTGTGAAGTATATTTTGTATGAAGTGAGAGTCTACTTCAATATGTTTAGTTCATTCCTCAAAATAGGATTGTTAATAATGTTGATGGCAGAATGATTGTTGCCATATTGAGTCATATGCTAAGTAATAGTGAAATTAAACCCTCGTAAAAGAATTTTTACCCCCATCTCATTTTTCACGTCAAATGTGTCATCGTGTCCTATTTTTTTTTTTTTTGCCTTTTGTTGGTGATCATATTCTTCCGCCAAAGATCCAATAACTTGAATTTGAATTTTTATCATCACTAAAAATAACATAATTGACATTGAGAAATGCTTCTGCATATTGTTTCTTAAATTTTGTATATACCAGCCATTTCCCTATAGACTTTTATATATTTGTGGATTTTAGAACCGCTTCATAGTCTCTTTTTTTTGAATTTGTTTTTGCCTTGACTCACTACTCCATTGGTGAATGGAATGTTTGTTTTAATACTAGTTAAATAAATTAGCTTACCGAGTGGCCTTTTATATTTTGATGGATCTTCAAGAGGTTCATTATTATTAGATGTGATTCTACTATCCATAGGGACATACATCTAAGTAGGCTTGTTTATTGTGATATTTCTTTATTATTGACAAATTTAATTCCATGAAAATACTTCTTATAAATCACTTGCTATTCACTAGGGCTGTCAAAAAGTCTCATTGTTTGCAAAGAGCTCGTGTTCAACTCATTAAGTAGCTTGTGATCAATTCATTCGCTAAACAAACAAGTCGAACACGAATAATTTTTTTGTGCTTGATATTTAAATGAGTCGAACACGAACAAATTTTTGTTCGTTCTTCGGCTTGTTTTGACTTGAAATATATATATATATATATATATAAAGTCATACAAACAAACAAGAAGTCTATATATATATATATATATATATAATGAGTATTATTTTTAAGTAATTTAATTGACTACAAGGCTATAAAGATTTATAATCAATTAGAATTACTAATTTAAAAATAGAATAAAAATATATTAAATTTTATTTAAATGAATGTTTTAATTCAAATAATAAGATTTAAATCTCGCCCTACCCTTACATTCTACGACTGTGTGACTAAGGTTGTCAAAATTGCTCATTGTTCATGACCAAATCGTGTTCGGCTTGCTAAGCAAACAAGTTGAACATGAACAAATTTTTTTGAGCTCGATATATAAACAAGCCAAACACGAACAATGGTTTTTCTAAATGAGCCGAGCCTGGGCTCGCTCAAGCTCTGCTTGTTTATACCCCTAATATTCACTTCTATTGAGTAAGATGCCAACATAAACATATAGTAAATGAATTCCGCAAGAGTATGTTTGATGAAGGTAGAGTAATCAACGGTGTTGTTGCGAATGTTAATCTTAGACATGATTTTGCATAGTGTTTCCGACTAGGACCATCTACTCTCTTTGAGACCATTGATAACCTTTTTGAGAACGCATATACTTCTCATCCCTTGAGTGACATATTTGAGTGGTTACTACATATAAATGATTTCTTATAGGTCACAGTAATGAAATGAATTGCTAACATTCATTTGTCGGATAGACCAAAAAAGTTTGATGACTACAAATAGAATGATTCAAATGGAGTGCAAACATGCCACTAGAGAGAATGTGTGAAAACCATGGATCTAAGTGAACCGTTTGGCAACTAAAAGATACTTGTTGCTATCAATCATTCCATTAGGATAAAATTTGATAGCAAATGTTGACTGACAAGCAATGAGTTTGACCACACAATGGGGAACAACACAATCCTGTTGTCTGGTCACTGAGAAGAACATCCATTTTAATATACATGGCTTATTTGTAAAGGTTGTAATCGAGCCAAGCTTATGTTACAAGTTGTTCAAGTTTTGTTAGAGCTCATTCTGACAAAATGTTGTCACAAGGGCTCCTAGCCTAAGGGTAAAACTGTTTTTTGTACGCTTAAGGGCACTTTAGTCTTTTATTATTATTATTGTTGGGTATAAATAAGCTTGTTATGTCTAGGGATAGGTTTATGCATGGAATTGAGTTGTGAGCCTTAAGTTTAGGTTTTGGGAGAGATTGCCTACCTCTCAAATTATAGGTTCTTATCAGCTTATCTTTATTTTCTTATTAAGTGTTTGATTTATTGAAGAAATATTGTGTTTGCCCTAATTTTTCTTAAAATGCGTGCCAATTTTGAGTGTGTCAAGGTGTTAATAAAAAAAATCCTAGAATCCAATTGGAGTACGTTGAACAAATCGACAGTGTGAAGAAAATAAGCAATGGTGGAAAAAGAAACAAAGAAATTAGTCATCATGTAGTAGACTCCATCAGTATCAACACCTCTCCCAAGTGTATTCTTTCAATCGAGATTTTGAATGATACAATGAGGATAGAAAGTTACAAAAGTAATTATGAAACTTAGTGAGACTGTAATAATACATTGTAGGAAATTATGAGTCATAAAATATTTGAGTGAGAGAGAGAGTTTGAATAACCAATCGGCCACAATCACGAGAAGAAGGGAAATCATGTGAAGGGAGAAGTAAAGTTTGTGGTTACCTATCATATGGATGGAGACATAAATCTAAGATCCATGACATTTAAGAAGACAACTGAAATATATCTTGAGGATGAAAGAACATAAGAAGAAATATGTTGATAGAGGTTTGAATTGTCAAAGTTTTGAGAAAAATAGGCTGAATTCTGAATAGGCTCGATGCCTTTTCCCTTTGCTTTCATTCCATTAAATAATAATATCTATTTTAGGTACAAAATATCATGTATAATCTATTTTAGATAACTTAATAATGTATATTCTTAATCTAAATATTTAGCTAAAAGAGAAATAAATCAGAATAGAAACATTGAAAATAATTTAAATAAGGAAGCTCCTAATTATAGAAAACTCTTAATTTAGCTGTCTGATTTCTGTCCTTCACTGATAAAAAATTATTCATTTGGCAACAAGAAACTTTGCTGAACCAACAATCTTCAAGCCGTGAGTATCGAAATCGATGGTGTCGGAGCTGAGTGTGCCGAAGCCTCAGTGACAACTCCTGAACCTAATATGATTTGAGCAAAAAAAAAAGAGAAATTCTTTATCATTGTTGTCTAGAAATTAGAATCATAGCCAAAAAAAAAAGAAATTTTTTATCATTGTTGTCTAGAAATTAGAATCATAGCCACAAGAATGATCCGTTTCCAGTTACACGATCCAAAATGCTACCAATCATAGCCCACAAATAGGATCCAGTTACACGATCTAAATGCTATCGATCATAGCCCACAAGTAGGATCCGCGTCCTAATCTAAATGCTACCGATCATAGCCCACAAATATGATCCAATTACACGATCCAAATGCTATCGATCATAGCCTACAAATATGATTCGCTTTCTGATCCAAATGCTACCGATCATAGCCCACAAGTATGATCCAATTACACGATCCAAATGCTATCGATCATAGCCTACAAATATGATTCGCTTTCTGATCCAAATGCTACCGATCATAGCCCACAAGAAGGATCTATATCTCGTTATACGATCCAAATGCTATTGATTCTTCCTACAACGACGAGGACGATTTGTTCCCTGATCTTCACGACAAAAGTCCTGAAGCCGAGATGTCGTAGCCGTAGATCTATTGTGCATCGAAGGATAGCAAAGACGACAATTGCGTTTGGATAAAACCAAAGTTGTCGAAGCGGACTAAACGGGGGAAGTCGAAGCGGACTAAACGGGGGAAGTCGAAGCGGAAGAAGCAGTCGAAGATGTCCCAGAAGCAGGAAAGGCTAGCAAAAACGACTATGGCATCAGCGACGATTTGCACGGAGACGAGATCAGTTGTGACCACTTCAGAGTCATCTACCGCTGCTACTCGCTGGATTCTGGTGATATCTACGCCGTTAAGTCCATCGACAAGTCTCTGCTCGCCGACAACGTTGATTTTGAGTGTGTGGAAGGAGAGGTTAAGATGTTGTAGCTTGCTTTCGCCAGAAACCCTCAAGTCATCCAGATCCACGCGCTATACGAGGACAAGGCTGCGATTCACCTTGTGATGGACCTCTGCGAGGGTGGAGATCTCTTTGATCGGATTGCGACCTGTGAGGGAGTGCCGCTGATGGAGGCGGATGCAGTGGTTGTGATGACGACGCTCGTGGAAGCATTGACAATGATGAGCAGAGCTACACGGAGAGGAAGATAACCAAAAAATCAAGAAAGAGCGTTTTTTCTACTAAAAGAAAAGTTCCTCCCCGTTCCACATGAAGGCCGGCGGGAAGGGAGGCTTGATGGTCCTCCAACGACTATTGGTGGTTAGGGCAAAAATTTGTCTCTGATACTATGTCAAAGTTTTAAGAAAAATATACTGAATTCTGAATAGGCTCGATGCCTTTTCCCTTTGCTTTCATTCCATTAAATAATAATCTTACAATCTATTTTAGGTACAAAATATTTTGTTTAATCTATTTTAGATAACTTAGTAATGCATATTCCTAATCTAAATATTCAGCTAAAAGGGGAATAAATCAGAATAAAGATATTGAAAATAATTTAAATAGGGAAGCTCCTAATTATAGAAAACTTCTAATTTAGCTGCCTGATTTCCGTCCTTCCTGATTGACATGAATCAAGCGTTCATTTTCCTTTTTAGCTAGAATAAAAGAGTGACAATAGTGGAAGAACCATTAGTGAAAATATGTCCCTTAAGACATGCTGGGCAATAAGAGTTTAGTCAAATTTGACTCAACAACGCTCAGAGGGATAATGACACAAACACAATGAGAATTAGGAGAAACGATCTTCCCACCATGATTATATCCAATATCAATGCAACCTTCAGAACCATGATCACTAAGGCCACCGTAACCATTTTGATGCTTGATAGTGAGGGCATTTTGATTATCTGATGATCTCATTAGAGAGTAATTGCCAGATTGGGAACTATGGGATCAACTATCACCAAAATTATACATGTTGGTGGCAAGAAAACAATAGTTTAGTTATCCGATGAACTCACGAGATACTAATTGCAATATTGGTAACTATGGATTCAACTATCACCAAAATCATACACGTTGAAGGGATGAATCAGGATAAATGGTTGAGAGTGAATTGACTTATATTTTTTCCTTGCATGGTGGTGTTGTAACCCTTACTGGATGCATCTTTGTACTGTAGAGAAACAATGCTATAGTACAAAATATTGAATTCAGATGCTACTTTTTTTAAAGTGGAGCAAATAAAATCTTGCATAGCCTAGACGGTCATGATTTTGGCCATGAAGGCAATGAAAGGTTCAAGACTATTAATCAATCAAGTGAGAACTATATAATTATATGCTTGCCGCTTGGAGACTTTTAGCAAGTTGAGTCTTGGTAGGTAAACATTGGAGAGTTGCATTCAAGAGGGTCAAAGAGCAGTAGTCGTGCTTCTGTGGGGGAGCTGCATAAAGAGCCCAAGCTACAGGGGAGTTTGAACAAGCTTTGGGATAGCAGAAGACCAGAGTGAGAGAGATGATGTCAAGACATCTGGGCTTCCCCAAGCTCGAATGGGTGTAACAAGTTGAGGGAGAGATCTGTAAGTGCGTAAGTGCATGTTGGCGAGCCATGGTTTGCGTGAAGACTTGTGAATGCATATCAAACTGCTGTGAATTACAACCTTCTCACAAGTAATAGAGGCATAAATGTGTTTTGTTTATATTTTTTATGCTTTAAATTGCATATATTTTCTCATTTTTTAATTGTTGCTTTTGTGCTTGCTTCTACTTCTTTTTTTGGATTTTCATTTTTTAACCAATTTTTATATGTTTATTCTTGTAGGCTCATGGCCTCTCTTTTGTTTTTTTGGAAGTTTGGTTGGCTTAGAGGGGGAACATAGATTTTTGTGTGTGTGTTTTTTTTAAGTTTATATTGATTCATAGTTTGCTCTTTATTTTTTTTTCCTTTTATCAATGAAAGATTTTTTAATGCATATGTTTGAACTTCTGAGCTTTCATTCTCATATATTTTGTATTTTCTAAAACTCGTGCATAATTGTATTGGTATTTTACTTACTTTGGCTTAGTAATTTAGCTTGATATGTGTCTATATGTTTGGGTGGACACGTTTGTGCTTGACTTTGCAGTCTATTAATATGATATTGCACATAATTTTTCTCACACCCCAATGTGTACTGGTTGCGGTTTATTATAGTATAGATTCTATTTGAACTTGAGAGCTTGACAATTATTTTGAAGGTCCTTACCAGTCGGGCATTAATCTCTGCTATCTAAAATTTAGTGTACTATTTCAGCTGGCTAAAAAATGCATGCTTCTCAGCTAAATGAATATTGTATAATGAACCGTTGTGGCACATTTTGGTTAATATAATTTAAGATAACTAGTATCTTTAGGCAATCTTAATGTATTTAAAAGTTTTAGATTCTAAGGATAATAATGGTTTCCCCATCCTTTTGTCTGATAATGCCATAGCTGTGATTTGTTTACCGTTGCATATAACTTTATGATAGAATTTGTTTCTCTAACTGTTTATATATTGCTTCATTCTAGTTTTCAAAGCAAAAATTATAATTTATGAAGCTTTATCAGTCACATAACGACCGTACCATAGATTCTCAACTAGCCGATGATAATTTCTTGGATATTCAAAATTTCATTTTTATGATAGTGTTGTCATTGTGCAACCAAGTGCTCACACATATTTTTCTTTTGAACACATGTTTTGATTATATTGGAGTGGCTATAATGTTTATTCAAAAACATATTTTAAATCACCTTCATCTTCGGAAAGTTCTTTTTGAATTATAAGCTGAGGACCTAGGTTATATATTTATTTTTGGCTCTTTCATGCCTAACATTTCACGAGACTTCTGCGCATGTTTACATGTTTAAATTGTTGGATTGGGTATATATACTGCCAGTTTAAATTTGAGTGGCGCTTTACAGCATGAATGCTTACATTGTCTTCAAAGAGGAGCAATCAGCCCATGCTGCTTTGTCTAATAATATGACACAGGTATATAGCTTGCAGAAACATTTAAAATTGATTCGCTTGGATAGTGTTTGTTTGTACTGTTAGTATGCTGCTGTATTTAAGATGTAATAAATATTTATACTTAGATTGGTGGAAATCATATCCGTGTTGATATGGCATGCCCACCTCGCAAGAAAATGAAAGGTGTTGCTCGGCTATATGATAGAAAGAGAACAGTTTTTGTGGGCAACATCCCTTTTGATGTGAAGGTTAGCTTTCTTTTGTCGAGGATATATTTGTCAGTGAAAATCATGTTGTTTCTGTTTTCTTAAAATTTATCAGCCCTCTGTCTGATATATATTGCTGGCACTCCAGGATGAAGAGCTCTACCAATTATTCTGTGGCCTGAGCCGGTCAGAACCAAATGTTGAAGCTGTGCGTGTAATCAGAGATCCAAATACAAGCATTGGAAAGGGCATTGCTTATGTGCTGTTTAAAACCAGGGTGAGTTTTTTTTCCCAATAGAAAGAAATGTTTGCAAGGCTACAACTAATAGATTTAATATATATATATATGTATATATATCTATATATATGTATATATATATGTATATGTATATGTAAATGTATATGTAAATGTATATATATATCTTGAGTACTTTCTGGTTGATTTTGTTTTGCAAGCATTTGTCTTCTACACAACTCACTTGTAAAGTAGTGGTTTTTTTTGTCATTTAGACTTTTAGTTTGGCAATTATTTCTTTTCTTTCTTCTAAACTAGTCAAGAAGGGCATCTATGATGAAGGATAAGGTAATTATTAGCTATCTTATTTGTAGAGCTAGAGTTTCATGCGTGTTTATGATCTTGATCCTGTGATAATAATCTGATTGGAGCCTTGTATATTTATGCATAGCTTCTTTGATCATTCTTCGCTGGTAATTATTCAGGGTTTGGTTTGCTAATTCAGATCAATGGTGAGATGCTCAAAGTTGTACATTCAAATTCACAGGTCGCAATTACTTAATTTAAACAACGACTTGTTTTGGCTTATATAAAATATTTATTACGGTTTGGCTTTCCTAATCCACGCGCTTCAAAAGATGCTCAAAATTATATATATAGATCTGTATATATATATTGAGTACTTTCAGGTTGATTTTGTTTTTCATGCTTTTGTCTTCTATACAACTCACTTGTGAAGTACTGATTTTTTTTTTGTCATTTAGACTTAGTTTGGCAATTATTTCTTTTTTTTCTTCTAAACTAGTCAAGAAGGGCATCTATAATGAACGATAAGGTAATTATTACATTCAAATTCACAGTTCACAATTACTAAAGTTAAACAATGACTCATTTTGGCATATATAAAATAATTATTACGGTTTGGCTTTCCTAATCGATGCGTTCGAAAGGATGCTCAAAATAAATGCACACCTTCGCATTTGCAGTTCACAATCTCTTAATTTTGATATTTATTTGTTCCTGTAGATAAAAATTGAAAATACAAATAATTTGTTGTTGAGGATAATTTAATCATCGTTTATTCATAATATCAAATATATATTCACGTTTATAGAAAATCAGACGTTTGACTGAAAACATTTTGCAATAAAAAACCAAATTATACTTGGACAACTAAATTAATTACTAAAAGTTAGAGAATATAACTAAAAAAATTAAAATATCACCACATAGAAGAATAAATATTCCTACAGCTGCTGGGAGATAATGTCCTGCTAAACTCTTCAATCTCCAATTGCACTGAGAAAGTGCTAAGGAATTGCATTCCAACTTGAAATTCTATCAATCAAAGTTGAAATCACGTTGAATTATTTTTTGCATATCTAATGGCCACTATATTTGTAATCACAGATGCTTCCATAATTTATGATTGAAAATAGAGTTGGTAAAATATGCTGAAGCTGAAAAAACAATGTCTAAGTAGAGTGAATATTGAATGGTGCAAGTCACATACTTACAATATCCAAAAATTTCAGGGATTTAAAGGGAATTATAATAGAAAAAATGGGTAAGTTGAGGGTGGGAAGATCTTTATTTGATACTACATGAAGTTTACTAGATACTAATTGATGAAAGTACAAAATAAATTGGGGTCTTGGTGTGAATTTGTTTTCATGTAAGAGAGAGAGAGACACGTGCGCACACACACACACACATACACACAGATATTAGCCAGTCTTAGAATTTTTGATGCCATTCTTGCCATGACATTTTACTTTTTACTTCCTCAGCCTCATAGGAATGTATTTGTTCATATCTCTTCATACCTTGGTTTTCAAACTTTGGTTTTTTACCGGCACAATTAACTTGCAACAATGGGCTTGTTAGATTTGTTACTTGAAGAACAATCATTCGGAGTACTTTTGTAATAAAAATTATAGTTATCATTGTTTGACCAAGGAATAACAACAGGGTAAGTGTTGGACACTTTTTTAAAGTTGTTGAATATATTCTGATATAATATTAAGGTATGCAATTGATATTGGATGCCTAATATATATAAATTTTTTGTTATTGTTATTATTATTATTATTCTTATTATTTTATTGTAAGAGGGGCACTTGGTCTTACCTTGGGTTTTTGGTTTGCTTTCACCCTTAATTAATAGGATTCAAGTTGAGTTTCTGTTAAGTACACCCCTTGGAGTCCTTTTCTACTTGCACGTTGATCTCATCTTTATTTTCATTTGTAATTCCTTTATGTAATGAGAAAAAGCTCAGAAAAGTGAACTTTATGGGAAGATGGTAGGAGAGATACTAAAGGAGTTGGAAAACTCTTCCGACAATGCTGGTGTGCACTCAAGAAGTATTCATATTTTTGCCAAGAGAAGAGGAGGAATGGGGGAGCGATTGGAGATGCATTCATTGCAATCACATTTACTGTAATAGAATAAAGTTTTTGGGACTTCAATGAACAAGCTTTTTTTTGATAAAAAAAAAATGAATCACTAATTCCAACTCATACACTTAAGCTACACATGGATTAAATGACTCCCTAAATTAAAGATGCATGAACACAATAATGAGAAGACAACGATTTTACATTAGAACATGCTTAAATGTAACCCTTCATGAAGGAAACTGTAAAATGTCAAAGGTCATCAAATAATGAAATGCATAAATACAAATTAGTTTTTATTAGATCTTTGTTATGCTTCTTCTTTTGAGAATTAAGGTGTGGTTGATCCTTATTCTTGATTTTTTACCATTTAATAAATGATGTAAGCTAACATTTTATCTTTATTAAATTCCTTTTCTTTCCTTATCTTCCAGTTAGCAGCAGGACATGTTGACATTACTATTTTATAAGAATTGTCTAATTAGAATAATCTGATGTGTTAATATCATCCTTGCTGGCTTCAATCTAAAGACCTTTTTTATTTTGTGTATGGTTAAGACTGTGGTCTTGCTTATTGCAAGGAATACACCCTGATGTTTCTTCTCCAAAGCCATTTGAATTTTAGGTTCGCACTTCTTTTGTGGTGGAAGATCCTTCTGTTCTTTGAAGAATGCTTCCTTGCTTTCACATTGTTTTTGGGTTGAATATGTTCACTACTACTCATTGTGCAATTTGTTCATTCGCAATAAATTGCTATTGTTGGACCATATTTATTTAAAATTTGGAACCAAAGAAGTCAGAGATTTGATTGAAAATCATGCTGCGGTAGAAAATTTGTTGTTTCAAATTTAGAAGTCTGAAATGACATAATATTTTACGATAAATTAGGGAATGTAATTAAAAAAAGGTAAAAGATCACCAAATATAAATGTCATGCCGCCTCGCACTGATTCAAGGCGATAATTGCCCCACAAATCTCAAATCTCCAGTTACACCTGGAGTGGTTAGAAAGAATTGCATTAAAAAAAAACTCTTTCCAATCAAAATAGAAAGCAAGTAGAATTGCTGTGCACATGCCTCAAGGTCCTCATATTTATTATCATAGAGCCTGATACAAAAAGCTAGAAATTTGAGCATGTAAACTTATCAGATGTGTAACCATAAAGATGAGGTTGAAAGGGAATAATTTAAGGCTCTCCTTATAGTTGGGGGTATGAAGTTGGAATCGATGCTTTAAAACTAGACTGGAACTTTCTTGGAATATTGTTTTGCTTACATTTTTCTAATAAACTGTGTATTTTATACGTTCATGCATTTCTTGTAGTTAAATTCTTTTTTTTAAAGAAATTTTGTGTGCAAGTGGGCCATTCTATACTTCTTCACCTTAAATTTCACATATTGTAATTTAAATATTTAGTAACAACTTTTGTTTGATATTTTCTTGAAAATTATATATATAAATAATGTGTGATGCCGTGTAATCTGATGCATGTATGGTGAAAATTTCCGAGAGTTTTTCACAGACACTTAAAAATGAATATTGATAAGTTTTAAGAGAGTTTTTCTATAATTACAATAAAGTTATACTGATAATTATGATTTAAACAAGTCACTTGTGTTATACGGATGAGCAATCTCTTTAGAGAAAGGGGATCACAATGACTTACAAAATAATTAATTATCCATTCCTTTGATTCTATGAAATAGATGTGAGTTTTAATTTTTTTTAATGGAATTTATACGAACAAGAAAGACTATGGATATCTTGTTGCAATCTAACATGTGTATTGTAATTTTTTTTAATTTATAAATTAAAGAACTTTGAAACAAAAATAAAATCAATTTGTAGTTGGTTTGTTGAGATGTAAATAGCATCAATTTGTTTAGATAATTTAACGGTTTTTTTAGTTATAATCTGTTCAGTTTGAAGTGTTGTATAGATTCTGATTCTAATTCTATTTTGGGTTTGGAATTGATCTTATTTAAAATATTTTTTCATATTGATGTTCTAACTTAGTTTTCAGTATTGCTTAAGGTTCTGTATGTGGCAGCTTATTCACCACTTTGTTTTTTAGAACATCCACACTTCTGAAAAAGGAAATTATAATACCTATTACAGCATTGAGAAAATTACTTTTTTCTCAATAGCGCTCTACATTTCTCTTTATAAAAGCTATGCTGCTTGAAATGTGGACCTTAAATCTACAATTCATGGGTACAAAATGTTGTCTTGCCATCTCGTTAAGAGGAATTCAATAATTTATCATCTGTGATATTCTATAGGTTTTAGAGGCTGTGCGGTTCACGGCTTTGATGTTGTTTGTTTCTATCACCGAAAGTGTTACGATGGAATGAAAATTAACCAATGCCATGGCAACTTCTTGTCTGGATGTTCGGACGTTAGTTATCTACTTATCTAACTATGATTCTTCATTTCTCCTGAGACTCTTTCAATAGAGCTAACTTCCTAGTTCAATTTTGAAGTTTTTTGGCACTGTACTTCTCATTTTTCGTCCTTTTTTTTAAATTTCAGTATTTTGTGCTTGGCTTGGTTGTGAGATTGTTTTTACTCGAATCTCTTAATTTTTGTATTATTTTCTCTGATGAAATCTTAATCAACTGTTTGCTTTTAATCCTGAATTTCTATTAGAAGAGTAGAAGTTTTTCATTGATGACTGAAAATAGTTGCCGTGTTAGATTTTACTTGTTTCCTAGCTGAATTGCATCTCACTCAAAATATCATAGCATCATATGTAAGTTTATATCAGAAGCTCTACACTCTACTAGTCTTTTGCCCTCTGAAACCGGACACCAAAGCTACAGACATTACCACATTACCTATGAAGTTATATATCTAACATGTAAGCTTCAATTTTTTGCATATATATGCCATCTTACTTGTGCATGGAAATGTATATTTCACTTTTTTAGAAGTTAAGATAATGATATTTTTATGTGATTGGAAAGATTTGGGTGGTATAAATGTAAAAAAAAAGAGTAAAGTTTAGGTGTTAGATATGTAAATAAGTAAAGTGTTGAAAAATTAGGGCGAAGAAAAATAAGAACGACACAAATCCAGAAGAACACAGAGATTTAACGAGGTTCGAAAAAGATGCCTACGTCCTCGGGAGCAGAACAACGACTTTTCACTAATTCAGAAAAAGTACAGAATACAAATACATAATTCAGGGAAATGGTGTCATAGTTAGAACATTATGTGATGTCAGACATATTCCTAATTCAGGAAAATGGTGCTATAGTTAGAACATTATGTGATGTCAGACATATTTCAGATCTGAAGAAGAATTTGATTTCCTTGGGCACTCTACATAGAAATGATTTCATTTATAAGGCAGATGAGGATAGAGAAACGATCAGAATATTTAAGGGTGCACTGACGGTGATGAAATGAAAGTTAACTGCAGGCAATATCTACAAACTGTTAGGGAGTACAGTTGTAGGTGAAGTTCATTCTGTGGAGTCAGATGATGATAGTACAAAGCTGTGACATATGCGTTTGGGTCATCTCAGTGAACGTGGGATGACAGAATTGCATAGAAGAAATCTGTTGCATGGTGTTAAAAGCTGCAAGCTTAATCTTTGTAAGTTATGTATTCTCGAAAAACAAACTAGAGTCAATTTTATGACTGGAAAACATAAAACTGAAAGGATTCTTGATTATGTGCATTCTGATGTATGAGGCCCTATTAGGGAGTTGTCATTGAGAGGATCTCAATATTTCGTTACCTTTATTGATGAATTTTCCTGGCAAGTTTAGGTGTATTTCTTGAAGCAGAAATCTGAAGTATTCTCTAAATTCAAGCTGTGAAAAGCTGACGTGGAGAACCAAACTGGCAGAAAGATCAAGTATTTGAGGTCTGATAATGACACAAAGTACACAGATTCATAGTTTCAGAAGTTCTGTGAGGAGCATGAGATTCAGAGACATTTTTCAGTACGCAAGACACCACAGCAGAATGGCGTGGCAGAAAGGATGAACATGTCCTTAACTGAAAGGTCAAGATGTTTGAGACTGAATGCAAGGCTTCCTAAGAGTTTCTGGGCAGAGGCTGTGAATATGACATGCTATCTCATCAATAGATCACCTCGAGCATCATTGGGTGACAATGTCGCAGAAGAGACATGGACAAGTAATCCATTTAATTTTGATCATTTACAGATTTTTGGTTGTCCCGCTTATGTGCATGTACTTGGAGATAAAAATCAAAACTTGATGCAAAATCCAAGAAGTGCATCTTTCTTCTATGCTATAAGAAAGGTGTGGAAGGATACAAGTTTTGAGATTCAATTACAAAGAAGATGGTGATCAGCAGAGATGCAGTTTTTTATGAACAACCCATGTTACAGCAGAATCAAAACAAGGTGCAAACAATTTCAGTTCAGATGCAGTGCAGATGGATTTAGAACAACATCCAGAAACAACTAAGAGAGTTGAAGGTTCAAATCCAACACCTGGTGATTCCATTCTAGATGATCCGCAAAATTCTAATCTAGCCAGAGACAGACAGAGATGCACCAATATAATGCCTCATAGCAGATTGGGTTATGAAGATTTCCATGCGCACTTCTCATCAGCATCGATGATCCAATCACTTTTCAAGGAGCTATCACTAACCAGGAGAAAGAGAAATGAATGAGTGCAATGATTGAGGAGATGGAGTCTTTGCGGAAAAATCGCGCTTGGGGGCTAGTTCAGCTTCTTGAGGGAAAAAAGACTATTGGTTGCAAGTGGATGTACAAAAAAAAACCAACAGTATCAGAAAAAAAAGGAGAAAAGTTCAAGGCTCGACTGGTAGCAAAAAAATTTTCAAAGCAGAAAATTTTCACAGCAGAAAGGGATAGATTATGATGAAATTTTTTCTTCTGTGGTCAGACATACTTCAATCAGGACAGTGCTTGCATTAGTAGCCATTTGGCCTGTGGTCAGACATACTTCAATCAGGGCAGTTCTTGCATTAGTAGCCATTTGAAATTTGCATTTGGAGCAGATGGATGTTAAAACTACTTTCTTACATGGTGATCTGGAGGAGCAAATTTACATGGAGCAGCTAGAAGGGTTCACTAAACTTGGATAGGAGCATCTGGTTTGCAGGTTAAAGAAATTGCTTGTTAAAGAAATTGCTGTATGGGTTGAAACAGTCTCAAAGACAATGGTTCTCCAAGACAATGGTACAAACGGTTCGACTCCTACATGATTCATATTAGCTACAGGCGATGTGAGTATGATTGTTGTGTTTATGTGAAGAGCCTTGATGATGATTCTATTATTTTTTTGTTACTGTATGTTGATGATATACTGATTGCTGCAAAGAATATGAATGGTGTCTGTGGTTTGAAAGTTTAATTGAGCTAGAAATTTGACATGAAAGACTTGAGTCCTACGAAAAAGATTCTTGGAATGAAGATTCATCGAGACAGAGACTTAAGACAATTATGTTTATCTCAACGAGACTATGTTGAGAAAGCGCTGAAAATGGAACGCTGAAAATATTTTAGATGAGCAAAGCAAAACCTGTAAGCACTCCTTTGACAGATCATTTTAAATTTTCTTCAGAACAATGTCCTAAAACAGATACATAAATCGAAGACATGACAAATGTTCTATATGCCAATGCAGTTGACTGCTTGATGTATGCAATGGTGTGTACTTGTCCGGATTTAGCTCATGCTGCTAGTTAAGTCTCCAAATACATGACTAAACCTGGAAGGCGGCATTGGGAAGCAGTCAAGTGGATTTTCAGGTATCTGAAGGGTACTGTAGGACATGAAATTATTTTTGGCAGTCAG